CGTTCCCTGCTAATTGTTCACCCCGTACCACGCACCTGAGCTGGGAGATGCCCTGGATGCAGGAGGGCACCGAGCCGAGGCACGGGGGGGACGAGCCCGCCCTGCTCACCCAAGTGTACTCTTCCCAGAAAGACATAGCGTGATGCATTTATTTCTACGGAAGGAGAACAACACCTGGGAAACAACAACCTGGAAGCAAGGAGCAGCTCTCCTCCCCAGCCTGCTCGATCCGAAGGCTCCTGGATTTAGGAGCCAGCCCCTGCAGTGCTCCCCATTGCTCTCATCTGCTTTTCGTAAGCATGGACAGGGCGGGCTGACGCACACACGAGACTTCACGTATTTTCACAACATGTAATAAATCAAACTGAAATATAAGTCAAACTGATGAAATATAAATCAAACTGATGAAATATATATCAAACTGATTGAAAAGCTCTATTCTAGCAGCAGCCATGAGGCTTGGGGATTAAAAACGCCCTCAAAAAACATAAGAGAGCACCTGAGACTGTGGAAACTTTGGTTAAGAAGTGCTGTAAAGTGCTGAAAAAAAGAGATGAGCAGTGAGGCTGAGCTGTGGGACCACCGCACAGGGCGGGGCGGCAGGGCTGGGGGGCATCGTATCGCCCTTATGCCCCAAGCCTTGTCCCACATCGAACACGGAGCCGTTATCTCATCGCCGACCGCAGCGTCCCGCTCTCCCAACAAACTCCTGTGCTCAAGAGCTCGTTTGACGGTTCCTCCTGCCCGTTTAACGAGCTGTGCTCACTGCAGGAGAGCACATATCCCTCCTCTGAGGAAACCTCTGGCTTGCAGTCATGCGTGGACTTTGATCGGGGTGCACCTCTGGAGGATGACGCTGAGACGGGGTACGTGAATCCCTGTCAGGGTCACGCTGACCTTCGCCGAGCTCAGCCCGGCATCAGCTGCCCGGCAGAACCGCACCGGGAGCCTTCGCCACCGGCCGGCCTCGTCCTCCCCACCGCAATAACCTGAGGCAGGCACCGGAGTTTGGACCCCAGGACGCTCGACTGTGGCTCTGCAGCGATAACAGGACGTGAAGTGCGTGTCCTGGATCATCCAGCC